CGTAATAAGCGCAGCGCCTGAAAATAGGCTTATTGGAAGTTACCTAGCTGGGGACTATTTTCAGGCGCTGCGTAATATCATTGCGCCTGCTGCACCCATGGTACAGCAGCAAAGTTCCTTGATTATTACGCTGAAATGAGAGTTCCTAGCCATATCAGCCTAGAAAATCGCAATTTTTCATTTTCCGTCGGTTTTAGTACACGATGTAACTACAGAAGAGTCAAGTTTTAAATAGGAAAAATATAGAAACTCTTTGGTCATTTTTGAGCGAGATGCTAACGGTCTAATCAGATTCAATGATCTATGCTAAGCTAAGCTAAAAGTGCTACCGCCAGACCTGGAGATCGGCTGAATGGATTCGAAAACGGGGAGTTAACTCTAGGGGAGTTGGAAAATGAGCCTATTTTCAAAAATAGTGTAGTGTTCCTTTAAGCATCTGTTTTTCAAAGTTGTTTCAAAATTCATTATAAGCATATTAGAATGATTTCTGAAGGATCATATGACACTGAAGACTGGAGTAATAGCTGCTAAAAATTCAGCTTTGCCATCATAGGAATAAAATACATTTTAAAGTACATTAAAATAAAACAAGCTATTTTAAATTGTAATAATATTTCACAATATTATTGTTTTCACTGTATTTTTGAATAAATGGAGCCTTGATGAGCATAAGAGACTTTTTTCAAAACCATCAGCCAAATCTTACCGACCCCAACATTTTGAATGGTAGTATGTATGGTTCCAAACATTTACATATAAAACAACCAAACATCAACCAATAGCGTGATTCTAAGCCAAAACTGCCCAATCATAAAAGAGGGCTAGTATTGTTGTACTTTAGTACTAGTACTTTGTTGAACTTGAAGGTGGCTTCATCAGTGAAATAAAAAAGTCACACTGACCTTGATTTGTGGGACGGTAATTCTGGTTTCAGGATTCTTGTCCAACATTTTAAACAGAAGGTCTTTTAAGTCATCTGATATGTCCGCGCTGTTAAGTGGGACAAAAATCAATGTCAGAACATCAGGATGGGGAAGGTCTATCAGGCTCAAGAGAAATACTCACTTCTCTGGAAGCTCCACCGGTTGGGTCTTGATCTTCTGATGGAGGCTCAAAATACGCTCATCCATAAACGGACACTGTAGAGAGAGGAAATAAAGTCAAAGACCACAACAAAAAGAATTCATTTTATACACTTGAACAGTTTTGCTGAATTGTTACTGTTTACAGTGCATATTTCATGATATATACGAAGGTCAAAACAGGGCGTACCACTCCAAAGATGAAACAGTATAAGGTGACTCCCATTGCCCACACATCCAGAGCCTATAAAAGCATGATGGTAACTTGATTAAATCAATTTTGACAGAAAGACTGACAGCATATTAGCAACTAGCTTAGAGAACTGAGCTTTTAACCTTTCCAGAGAAGTTCTTGCGGGTCTCTGAGAGGGTCTCTGGGGCGAGAAACGCTGGCGTCCCAACTGTGCTGGTCAGGAGGGCGTCTGCTCCCTCAAACTGGTTACTGACCCCAAAGTCGGCAATTTTAACATGGCCATCTTCCCCCACAAGCAGGTTGGAAGGCTTGATGTCCCGATGAATGATTTTCTGGTAATGTACTGTTGAGGATGAATAGTTGCCATCACTTTTAATCATTACTCACTGCATTTGATGACTATCAAGAAGAACTGCATCTAGTCTCATAATTTGAGGTATATTACAGATAAAAATGTTAAGAACTTTCTGAAAACCAAAGACTATTTTATGCTGAGAATGGGTACACACGTTTACTTTAAATGTCATTCAGATGGCTTCTTCCTGTCCTGTGCTGTTATCTGATATCTATCTAGTAACTAAAACTATTAAAAAAGTTTTTGTTAATTGATAGAAATAAAGCTGAAATAAAATAATATATAAATATTACATGAAAAACTTAAATGAAAATTAAAAATGTATTGCCAAACAACGGAAATAAAAGAAGTTTAATTACCAAAATTACTAACAAAATTAAAACTGAAATAAAACAAATTAAAGCTATAAAGATATATTAAAAACAAATAAACAAAATCTAATAAAAAATGACTAATGAAATAAAACTAATGGAATGTAAACTGAACATACTAGTATACAAATAGTATAAAAATATAATAATAAAATACAAATATTAATATAAAGTATATAAATAAATAATAAATAATAAAATAACACTGCTAATTGGCCAGTTCTTGGACAGAATAAGCAATGTGGACTAGACATAAAAACTAAAATTATATTGAAAATTGAAAATATAAAAATAAAAGCTAAATCCTATAACAGTATATAAATTATACTAAAATAACACTGCTAAGTAGGTAGATGGCCAGAATAAGATATGATGACAAGACTTTAGTCTAAGAGTTTGGCTCTATTAGACTATCCAGTGCCCAGTCAATGGTGTGAGGCCATGAAAATGTACCTTGTCCTTTTATCTGGATGTATTAGCAACACTCATGAGTATTGATTAGCTAAATTCCCGCACTCACAATACTCAATTCCTCTCAGCAAGTCCTGGAAGTAGAAGCGTGCCTGGTCCTCATCCAGGGGCTTATCAGTAGGAACCTCCATCACCGCTCTGCAAACACATGGGGAATGAGACACAGTTTCTCTAGCAGACTGACACTAGCACAGCATGGGCCGGCGCTACAATCAGAAATAACATGCTTACTCACCCTCGTTTGACAAGCTCGAAAACTGTGAAAGCACACAGGAAACAGAGTTAGGCTGTTGTGCATTACCCTCTCTGTTTTCACATACATTTAGCACAGAAAAGTAGAATAAATTGTGCATGTGCAAGTGTGTAGCATCTGCCAAGAGGATGAGTATCTGGCCAGACTTACCCATGTACAGATGGTCCTCACTTGGATCATCCAGCACCTGCACAAAAAAAACTAAGCGGTTTAGAACGGGAATGAAACCAGTCAGCATAGACCTTATATTATGCCATATCTGATTTGATGTAAATGAAAACAAGGGTTTGACGGATAGAAATTCAGTCCATTCAATATGACAGACATGCATCAACATCTAATTATTACAACCCAGTTTTGTTGACTTTTTAGGGAAAAGCTTTCTTTCAGTGTTTTTATTGGCTAAATACTAACTGCCCAGTACATATCAGTACACTGCAAATAATTATTTTCATAATCAGTATTTATGTCTTATTTTCCATTAAAAATATTTTTAGACATCCTAAAACCAACTTTTTTTCTGATATACTTTTTTTTTTTGGTTTTGTTTTAAGCATTAACCACACTACATATTGTTAGATTTATGCTTAAAAAATATAATTAATTAATACAATTTTTTATTTGAATATTTAATGCAATTTTGCTTAAAAATAAATTTATCTTTATGCTATAGTACATTTTTACTGGAAAATTATGTAAAAATACTGATAACGCTTTATTTATTTATTTTTGCAGTGTGCAATATTTAAGAAACTGTATTTCTATTCCTCACTGCCTTATTTTTATTCATGTCAAATTTAAAATGATGCTTGTAATTTTTTCAAGGTTAAAATACGTTACCCCTCCCAGTTTAATAGGTGGACTTTCTGTGTAAATGGTGGAAGTGTTTGGGGAAGCCTGTTTGAAAATAGTCATAATTTTAAAATTCTAATTGAAGGTGCACAAATTACACAATTAAATTTTTTTTTTTAATTGTACAACATTTAAGAAGCTCTGTTTATATCCCTCACAGCCTTATTTTTATTAATGTTAAATTTATTATGTGGTGTGTAATTTTCCCTATCCCAGTTTAATAGATTTAAAGGTGGACTTTCTTTTTCCAGACGATAGGAAACCTGTTTGAAAATAGTCATTATTTTTATTCCACTTGGTGGCACTAGTGGTGCACAAACTACACTTTTGGCTGCATATTGATAATACAAGCACCCACCTCCACAAGCTTAACCACGTTAGGGTGATCAAGCTTCTTGAGGATGGCTATCTCCTGGTAAACACGCTCCAGAGGCCCTTTGGGCTGAGGGGGGTCCTCAGGGGCCAATTTTGCCCCACGAGGAGGAGGTCTGCCTGTTTAAACCAGCACAAGAGGAAATCGTGTAAAAGGTTGAAGTTTTGGGAATTCTGCTAGCTGATGAAACTGCGCCCCCAACCTCATACACACATACACTCAATCATAAACCCCGCTGAGCGCTCCATCTGCTTTAAAGCAGACACTTACGCGGGAACCCAGCCTGCCTCATCAGTCGTTTCTTGGACAGCACTTTCATGGCCTGTGGAGAGCAGTGAGAATGAGAGAGTGAGAGCAGATATCCAGTGTCATTACTGGTGCTGGGTGACATATGCCCCATTCTACAACCAGTACTGAGTGAGGACTACAACTGCCCCAAAAATTAGGATAAAAAATAAGCAAAAATTCATCAGATATTGAGCAATTTTAAATTAACATTTATTGTAATATTACAGCAATATAATAATTATTATTGTTGTTGTTATTACAGCATGTTCATAATCATCATTATCAAGATATTTTATTTCATATTAAAATTAAATTATTTATCAAATCCCAATAATATAACAATATTTTTTAAATATTATAGCAATTTATTATTATAATGCTAATAATACTACTAATTTGATTGAGCAATTTTAAGTTAACATTTATTGTTATGTTACAGCAACATATTATTATTATTATTATTATTATTATTATTATTATTATTATTATTATTATTATTATTATTATTATTATTATTATTATAGCATGTTCATAATCAGTATCAAGATATTCCATTTCATTAAAAACACACCCCAAAAAATTAAAATAAATAAAATAGACTATCAATCTATCTATCTATCTATCTATCTATCATTTTGATGCCATAATGTACTGTATATTCAAGAAACCAGCTCTGTGTGAAGAGTACTGCACAGAAAATGTAAATAAAATAAGCAACAAATAATACATTTAAGTAAAGAAAAAGCAAATAATCAGAGAAATGATCAAAATTAAGGTAATATCAAAATATTACAGCAATATATTATTATTATTATTATACATGTTAATATTACTACTACTAACACTACTAATAATATTAATACTAATACTAATAATAATCAAGATTAGGATATTCATCACCGATGGCTGATAGACATCGTGATGTTTTTTTTTTTTTTTACTGTATTATGTAATATACAGTATATATGTAAAGTATGTAAAGTTATGTAAAGTTCAACAGAAAATAGTAATGCTAATTATAATTGGTTACATCGTATGTGTTAATTATAATAATACATTCTAATATTGGACAGAAGTATTCACTATTTTTATTATTATTATTATGTTTCGTGTATACACACACATACACACACACAAAACATTACATGTGGTAATTTCAGAAATTTCAGAAATTCTCAGCTACATAGCCTGTTACAGCAACATATTATTATTATTATTATTATTATTATTATTATAGCATGTTCATAATCAGTATCAAGATATTCCATTTCATTAAAAACACACCCCAAAAAATTAAAATAAATAAAATAGACTATCAATCTATCTATCTATCTATCTATCATTTTGATGCCATAATGTACTGTATATTCAAGAAACCAGGTTATTATTATTATTATTATTATTATTATAGCATGTTCATAATCAGTATCAAGATATTCCATTTCATTAAAAACACACCCCAAAAAATTAAAATAAATAAAATAGACTATCAATCTATCTATCTATCTATCTATCTATCATTTTGATGCCATAATGTACTGTATATTCAAGAAACCAGCTCTGTGTGAAGAGTACTGCACAGAAAATGTAAATAAAATAAGCAACAAATAATACATTTAAGTAAAGAAAAAGCAAATAATCAGAGAAATGATCAAAATTAAGGTAATATCAAAATATTACAGCAATATATTATTATTATTATTATACATGTTAATATTACTACTACTAACACTACTAATAATATTAATACTAATACTAATAATAATCAAGATTAGGATATTCATCACCGATGGCTGATAGACATCGTGATGTTGAGCCGGCATCGTGATCCCCCCCCCAATTCCCTCCGCATCCCAATACCGTGTTCAGAAAGAAAATGACATGTAGGCGGAACCCCTAAAGGGAATAAATACGAGATGGGAGGAAAATATATATTTCAATATTTTTCCTCGCAGTTAAATAATTGGGTAATTATACTACATATATATTTCGGCATCAGGGATTATACCTGGCATTGAAACTGGCATTATGCTTTTGCATGCACGATCGCTTTTAGTTTCACTTTCACTTTCGAGATTTGCGATCGTACGTACCCTGTTTATACTATGGAG